GGGGGGGGGGGGGGGGGGGGTGTTTGTTACACCTCTGAACTTGTGAGATATTTATATTACTGAGCCTTATAAACTTGGGATGGAGCTGTGTCATGCCGCGTGGCTTGGTTTGGGCCTCTTATTGGATCGCACAAACCACGTCAGCTGTATCCCCATCCCGAGTTTTAAAGCCTCATTAACAAAACCTGGCTGGGTCGAAACCGATGAAGCAGAAAGCAGTGTCAACGCACAAGAAATCGGTCCAAATCCCCCGGGAGCCATGAACAGTAGAGTACGAAATTAGATGAGACAAGTCACGCTGAGACCTGCCAGCTTCGTGCAGGTACGACAGGAGTTGCCTTGCCCTTCGAAGTCTGACTCCTGCAGGGTTCAGGGTTCGCGGCTATGCCCACTTTTGTTGTTCCCGCTTGAAAAGTGCGTTTACTACCATGACAACACTTAGTCTTAGACTCATACTAATTTGTTGAAAGGCTTGTGTTTGCTACCTTGTTCCTGCATGATTGCCATCGCGTCTACTGAGTCTAATGTGCCGCGGATGCTGCGCTGCTACGCTTGCGACTTGGGTTGGCGTTCAAGTCTATGCTTCTGAAACTCTTGCTAGCTACAGCAGCTGCATCGGCAAAAGTCAAGAATGGACCCGCGCGGCCACAGGATGCCTGCGCATGCACAAGACGAGCCCTCCCAAAGAATGTCTCCTTCCCGGTGCGGGCATTGCGAGGAATATTTTGGCATGCCCGCACATGCTGCTCTGACAAGTCCCACGCGTGCGGGTGTTGCGCAGGCATCTTCTTGGAGGGCCCGTTGGGCAATTTTTCCTGTGTCAATCCTCCTAACATGCCCCATTGCATGTACAAACAATGCACGCATGCACGCACGTTGCGCGCACAGAGTCTCCCTGCCAGGAAGAACTGCATGCACACGTCCCAACCAAGAAAATGCAAACACGATGCCCGCTTTCATTTTTCGACAAAACACTTAGACTTAGCTGGGATGCCTTCCGTCAAGTTGTCGATGCACGGCTGCGGTATGGTAGTCACTATGAACCCCTTCCTTCCGTTGTAGCCAAAAGAAGTTTAGAAAATCCGTGCCACCAGCAAAACCAAATCGGATCTGCAGTGCACGATTCGTTGAACTTGATACACTGAATCAAGGGCTGTGCGCCGTACACACTTGCAACTTGCAAATCTCACAGGTGCCGGCGGTCTCGCCTCACGCGGGCGCACCCCTAACATCTCTACCTCAATACAAGCCATGACCTCTTCAGGCGCACCACTCCCTACCCATAGGCCCTAAAGTAGTTCCTTTTTGGGGTTCATATATAGGATCCTATAAGGTAATCCCACAAAAGAACTACTATGGGGCCTATGAGTAAAGCTAAACTAAACGCTCTCAGCTCTGG